TTGGGGCATGGTATTAGGGGTGGTAGGAGCTACGCGTAGCCCTTCAGGCTTGAATTCACGGGGTCCGCTAAGACGGGACACAAACTGGGATACATCAGGGGTACCGTGTCCAAAGGGGCAAAAGGCAGCCTCCCTTAATACTTTTTTCATCAAAGACATGGCGGGCGAGAACGAGGGTGCATGGACACCCACTTGGCATGGTAGGGGGCGCTAGGAGAGATCACGGCCGCTCCTGGGTCCCCGCCCTGTCACACACTGTAACTTATAGGTTTCTTGCTTATTCAAGATCTCTGGATATTTCTCATTATGGAGGACTTGCTATAGGTGCCTACCAAGATTTTCCAAAGTGGTTAATGATTTTTGGTTACTCATTTGAGATTAGCTTAAAGCAGTGGTGCTCAGGCTTTTGGCCCATGGACCCAGATGAGCAGTGTGGGGCCAATCCATGGACCAGATTGGTTCCTGTGGTGCCTCTACTTGGCCCTGCCCACCTGGATAAGGACTTGGAGGCCTGCACCACCCCTTCCTAGGCCTGTGTGCTAAGACTGGGCCTGTGTGCTAAGACTGGGATCCATGCCACACTGTTCTCCCAGTCTAGTGCTCAGGGCCCAGCGTTCCTCACAAGTCCAGAAATTTGGCAGCTAGGGAGCAGTGCTACCATTCTCCTTCCATCAAATTTTTGGACCCATGGGGAGCCCTTTGGGCTGGCTGACATGATCCTGGAAACTAGATCTGGCCTGCAGGCAAGGGGTTGAACACCTCTGGTTTAAAGGCAACTGATTTTCAAGGGATTATGTTCTCTGCACTGAAAATGCTTAATTCATTTTGGGAAAAAAAAGTACATGGATGAGCTATAAGATGGTAAAAGTCTGAAACAATGATAAGCATGAGATTTTGCACAATTTTTTTGAGACCTTTAATTAATTAATCATTCTTTGTATAACATAGTTAAAAATCAGTGTTTGCCCTCACAGGCATAATATGTTGATGAGTGAGCTACCGAGTTAGGCATATTTACTTAATTTCTGTGTTGACAAATTGTTGTGACTATTGCAGAGAAGTGGATTAAAATGAGTATTGTTTTTTTCCTTTTTGATATGATAGATGTGGATGAATGCCAAGCCATCCCTGGGATCTGTCAAGGAGGAAATTGCATTAACACTGTTGGATCTTTTGAGTGCAAATGCCCAGCTGGACACAAGTTTAATGAAGTGACACAAAAATGCGAAGGTAAGAATTTCAAAACTTTCCTCTGAAAATAAGAGGAAAAAGCTTTTGTTTGAAGCCACCCTTGTTTAGAAAATTGGCAGAATTTTCCAGACTCTCTCATTTCCTTCTGCATGCAAATAGGTTTGCACACAGCACATGTGTATAATACACCTTTCTCCTTCTAAACCAGAGAATTTTAAGTATTGGCCCTCCAGCTTTTTCCAGTTCTATTCATGTGGCATTTCACAAACTTAAATTTTGAAACTACACCTGAAATAAATTAAACATTGAAACAAAATATTTTTGAATTCTCATTTTGTTTTAATATTGTATGTATCCAAATCCACGATGACTTTGAATACAAGATGACCCTCCACTAATTAGATTCTATACATGGAAATTTATAAATATGTTATAATTTTCCAGGGTTGTTGGTTGTAGCCATGTTGATCTAAGGACATAGGCAGGCAAATTTCTTTGGGTAGATATGATATCTTTTATTAGACCAAGTAAATCGTTGGAAAAAAGCTCTTTGCAAGCTTTCGGGCACACGCATCCTTTCTCAGCAGAGTCTCCCAAAGTCTGAAGAAGGGTGTTTGTGCCCAAAAGCTTTCA